CAAGATTTAGTCGTCAGGCCTCAAGGTTCTACATGCCTCGTTGTTGATGAAAAATTCTTTCCGCTCAAAGAGACTCGGCTCCATAAGGCGAAAAAAAATAGTGATGGTGAACAAGTGAATGATCTTTTTGCCTGTTCTGACCCAGGGTGCAATATGGTGTTCAAGAAATTCAGTGAATTAGAAAGTCACCTCGATGTGGACAACCACTGCCAAATTCTCCGAAATTCTGATACAGTGTACGACAAACTCAGAAAAGACTGGGCGGAAAATTTCCTCCGTGTTAACGACGAGGAAATCGACAGCGCACCAGTAAAATCTAGTGACGAGTGACAGCACCAGCAAGAAGCTGATAGTCCTAGCAGTGATATGCTGGTTGGTTGGGCACTACATAAGCCACGAGGCCAGGAAGCCGTGCGTTTCACTTCTGAAGTTAAACAGTATCTTACAACGAAATTTGACCTTGGAGAGGGAACCGGCACGAAGGCAGATCCCGGAAAAGTAGCTGCAGACATGAGGACGGCAAGAAACCCAGATGGTTCCCGCATGTTTGAAAGGAAGGACTGGCTAACGAAGACTCGAGTGCAGGGGTTTTTCCTCGAGACTGGCGGCTGCAAGAAGAAGACAGGGAAGCCGAGAAATTGAATTGGAGGAAGTTTACGCTGAGGAAGAGGAACAAGAAAGACGTGAAATGTTGGAAAACGTTGCCGGCCAGCTTGGTCTAAAGCACCCTATTTGCTATGATTCATACTGCTTGTGTGACCTCTCACGCGATAAGAAACTTGAAGCTTTCAGCGTAGTCATGCTTAAGGAGATCCTTAAATTTTTTGAGATTCCGTATGGTTCCCGAGATAGGAAAAAAGAACTGGTAACTAAACTTTCCACATTCTTAGAAGGATGTGACTGTCACTGATAAGAAAAGGTCTAAACTAAGAATGTAGAACATTGTTTGATCCGTTTTGTTTAGGACTGGTTCGGCGTACTCGGGGTTTCAGAACATATCGAGGAGTAGAGCTTTACTTTTCTGGTAGCAGAGAGACTAGTTGATAAAACAAAGAAAATATAAAAATGGAGGAAAATGGCGAAAACGTAGAAGCATAGCTGCAAATGCTTCCGCCGACTCAATCAATCAATATATTAAAATCCATATAAGTCACGCAATGTAATTAAATCTCTCCAAACTCGTTTACTTATAATTACTCTATAACAACCAAGTAAGAAAAAGTCACTTGAATTTAAAGAGACAAATAGACAGTGAATCACCGGTGGTGATTATCGAAACTAAAGAGAAAACTTAATTCATTAATCTTTTAGTGGCCACTGGTTTTGTATTTTACTTTTTTTCTTTACCTTTTACTATTTCACGGTATCACGTAAAAGCACAGGCATTTCAACTTGCTTGCCACCTAAAATCGACATCGTCATAATTGTCTACAAAGAAATTACTCTTTGGTCCATAATGAGGTAAATTATAGAATAAAAGTAAAGTAAAGATAGGAAAAGTATCACTCTTGACACAAACCATTTCTGTGCGATGTAGTTAAATTTGAATCCGTGACATTTTCAATGTAAAGAGCGTGACACATGACTGAATCAACCCGATCTAGTGGAGATCTGGTAAGACATGAATTTCTCTTCGTTATAACATATTTTGAATGAGCGTTTCTAAATCTATAACTGACAGCAATTTTAGTTTTTTTACAGCATAAGACAGCGGTCAAGACCAACTTAATGGAATTTTGACATGTTTCAGTCCGCATGAGACAGCTAAACATAACTTCACACAGAAGATGTTCATTTCTACCTTCGTAATTGCTAACTTCGGGGCAAGTTTAGATGAATTTATGGACATCTTCACCTTAACAAAACAACCGTGCTAGTTTTGAGAATAAGCACTGCCTCAAACATTGATTTTGAGCGAGAAATGGAGTAACCACAAATATGCATAAATTAAGTCATATGCACTTTGAGCATTGAAAATTAGTAAAGTTCATCGAGCTCCTGTAGCTCGAAAAGACTAGTTGCCAAAAATGTTTTT